AAATCTCACACTTGTTATTAATTAGATAAGTTTAGCTGCTCATCTTAAAATTCACTTTATACTATTTGTAATTTACTATTCTCATTAATTCTATTCATATTGTTTCTGAGAATATAATTGATTTAAGTTACTTTTTCAAAGTTTACCAGGGTACAATCTGGCAATAGCTCCAAGGCTACAATATCCTCTACATTTGAGCTTATACCGTTTTTTATTTTGAACTGTGAGCCTTCCCATCTTTCATATGACAAAGGATGCAGCCTAGGGTTAGATCTATATTAGTTGTAGATAGTATTCTTAGTGTTAAAAGACTTGAAAAGATTAGTCAGTTTAAAAAGATGAAATTAGTCATTGATAAATGAATATCTATCGTTTAGTTCCACTTAATTGATGATATCGTAGTTTGTGAATCTAAATAGAAGTTCTCTGTAGTACATTATCATATCTTTACTTTCAAATATTGTACTTTCATTAGGCTACTTTGTTTTATAAAGTATACCCTACGAGCTCTGATACTTAATTTCATTGAGAGATTCCTATAATAGTGTAATTTCAATCATTATGACTTCAATTGCCTTCATCATTTTCAGCTAAAATTGGTTTAGTTAAATTTGCTTATTTTAAAGTTATTGTTAAAGAATCTTGATTAATTCATTATCTTTATAGACCAGCTTATTTATATCAGTTGAAAACTGTATGAAAGTCTGCTTAATATTTTTAAACTTTTTCATCATGAATACTGAAATGATAAGCTCTAATGATTTTTAAACATCCGAATCCTCGATTGGCAAATTTTCAGTTGATGCTGACTCCTAATTAGATTATAAACCATACTTAGACTAAAAGTAAGAAAAGCTATTCTTTTTGACTGAATTGGGATTCAATTCATTTGGTTGAGAGGTTCGTGCTATTTTCAAAATATTTCTGATGATATTTGCCTCAGTATCATTAGAATCCAATTTTCCCTTCATAATTGCTGAATACTCGTTTATATCTTTCATTGAGTTATATATTTTGTATTTTAATTAATTATTATAATCATCTAATAAGATCTATAATTATTCATATGGGGTTTTGGGGTTTTGGGG